AGCGTCCCGGGGTCACATGATCCCCTTTTGGTGACCTTCTGACAGGTAAAGTCAAGGGGGAAGCCAGATTCACTTTGCAACCATGGGACTAACCTAACAACTGCAGTGATTCACTTAACAACTGTGGCAAGGAAGGTCATAAAATGGGGCAAAATTCACTTAACAAAATTCACTGAACAATTCACTTGTCTGACTGAGCAACAGAAATGTTGGGCTCAGTTGTGTTCATAAGTTGAGGACTTCCTTTGCATTTTCTCTTTCTAGTTTTTTTTTGTTTCTTGCACTTTTAGCTTTCTTCCTGCTTTTCTCCACTTTTCTTTTTCTCTTGGTGATGGTTTTTCANCCTTGGGGATGGTCGTATGTGTAGAAAACGGTTGCACGTCATTTTTCCAGTGCTGTTGTAACTCTGAACGGTCACTAAACAAACTGTTGTAAATCAAGGAATACCTTTATCTAAGAGTCCAGTCCATTTGGAGCCTCTGTGTCTGTGGAAAGCCCATGGAGTTCAAGACACCCAAACTCAAGTCCCGGGTTCAGGCAGCCATTGAATGAGGAACAAGGAGGTGGGGTGGTTTATGGTTCAAGGTTGGGTGGTAACCCAGTCCTTGTCTCAGCCAGGTCCATGAAAACTGGATGCATTTTCAAAAACAGACTGGACAACAGAATAACAGAGTTGGAAGGGACCACAGAGGTCATCTAGTCCAGGGCTTTTCAACCTTTTCACCCATTGTACCACTTTTAGGATATGGCAACATCCGAGTACCACCAGTCGCCTAGCAAGGGGTCAAAAAAAGTGATAAAGTACAGGTAGTCCTCAACTTACAACAGTTCGCTTAGTGACTGTTTGAAGTTACAATGGCACTGAAAAAAGTGCCCCCCAAGCCACAGCCGAGCAAGACACCTGCCTGCCCGCCCAGCTGCACTCTTCCTCCTGTCCGAGGTTTTCATTGTTGTGAGCATTTCTGTTGAGGATTGGCAGCGGGGGTGGGGTGGGGGGTGTTTGGTTTTTATTCCCCCCCGTCTGCTGGGTGGTTGCAGCAGGTTTTGGTCACTTCCCATGACCCTGGGACACTGTGACCGTCATAAATATGAATCAGTTGCCAAGCATCTGAATGTAAAGCACAAGACCCTGGAGAGGCTGCAACATTCCAGCTGATTGGCGCTTCTTCTGGTCCCAGCAGAAGCGTCAGGATCAGTGCTGCTTTCCAGCTGATCGGCGCTTCTTCAGGACTCAGCAGAAGCGCCAGGATCAGCGCCGAGCTCCAGCTGGAGCCTGGCACTGATCCTGGCACTTCCGCTGAGCCCTGACAGCCCTGCAGCTCCAGCCGTCTCTCGCTCAGGCTTGTGCGGTGCTGCCACCGGTTCAGCTCATTCCCCTCCCCCGCTACCACTTTTCTAGGATGGTCGCGTACCACTTGCCAGGTGCAAATGTACCACAGTGGTACCCATACCACTGGTTAAAAAGCCCTGGTCTAGTCCAACCAACTCAAGCAGGAGACTATATACTCATTCTGGACAAATGGTTGCCCAAACTTTTCTTTAAAACCTCCAGTGATGGGGCGCCCACGATTTCTGGAGGCCAACTGTTCCACTGGTTAATTGTCCTCACTGTCAGGAAGTTTCTCCATAATGCCAGGTTGCTTCTCTCTTTGATCAGTTTCCATCCGTTGCTTCTTGTCCTGCCTTCAGGCGCTTTGGAGAATAATTTGACCCCCTCTTCTTTGTGGCAGCCCCTCAAATATTGGAATACTGCTATCATTTTGTTCCTAGTCCTTCTTGTCATTAAACCAGACAATGGGATAGTAAAAGGCTGCTGTCTTGAGCAGTGGGGTTGGACTAGAAGATCTCTAAGGCAGGGGTCTTCAAACGTGGTCCTTTTTATGACTTGTGGACTTCAACTCCTAGAATTCCTCAGTCAGCATGCCTGAGGAATTATGGGAGCTGAAGTCCACCTGTCACGAAAGGGGCCAATTTTGAAGACCCCTGACCTACAGGGAGGAGAGAGTAAGCTAATTCTGCTCAGAAAATTGATGCCAGCCAATGGACACGCTGGCTGAGGAATTCTGGGAGTTGAAGTCCACAAGCCAAGTTTGAAGACCCCTTCCAGCCATAGGATTCTATGTTCTCTGTGACTGTCTACACCACTGTGTGTGGGTTGTTGTTTTTTTTAAATTAAAGGCTTGGCACGATGCCTGAGGAGGTTATGTAACATGTCAACAGAACTTTAACTGATAAAAACTGGGAGTCAGAAGCAGAGACTTATGTTCCAAGAAACTCCGATTACTGGTGAGGAAACGATGGGTGAGTCACCCAGCCACAAGCTCCCTGCCCTTCAGATCTCCATCTCCTCCTCCTCCTCCTCCTTTAATGGCTACCAGAAAGCTTGGGGTGATAACAAGATAACAGCTGGACACGAGGCCTTCTTATCCAATTGCAACAACAGAAAAACACAACATCAGGAAGAGCTGGAAAAGAGGAAGCCAGGAGGAGAAACACGGGAGCCTGCACTTAAGACTCTCATGGACAAGCCGTAAATAGTTAGAACTTGAGATAATGATAATGATAAAGACTAGTAGCAACGGGAGAATAATTTACTCGGGAAGAATATTCCAGGCGTCATAAATGTCTCCTTCAAAAGCACATCAAGTCAGATAATGGGTGGCTTTGAAGGGCACATACGTAGTCCCCGGGTTATGACCAAAGTAGTTAGTATCTATGCATGTATATATGTACAGATAATCCTTGACTTACAAGAATTCATTTAGTGACCGTTCAAAGTTACAACGGCACTGAAAAAAGTGACGTATGACCATTTTTCACACAAGGTCATGTGATCAAAATTCAGATGCTTGGCAACTGACTCATATTTACGACGGTAGTAGCGTCCCAGGCTCACGTGGTCCCCTTCTGCGACCTTCTGACAAGCACAGTCAGTGGAGAAGCCGGATTCGCTTAACAGCTGTGTGACCAACTTAACTGCAGTGATTCGCTTTACAACTGGGGCAAGAAAGGTCGTAAAATGGGGCAAAACCCACTTAACAACCGCCCTGCTTAGCAAAGGAAATTTTGTGCTCAATGGCGGTTGTAAGTTGAGGACTATCCATATGTATTTATGTATTTTATGTAATCGATCGATTTCCCATTCCTGAGCCACGCGTCTCCCTCCAAGAGGGACTCTGAGCAATACATGCCTATAAGTCGAGGATTATCTGCACTGCGTCACGTGGGCCCAGGATGCTGCAACAGTCGTAAATACAGGCCAGTTGCCAAGCATCCCAAATCTTGATCACATGACCGTGGGAACGCTGCGATGATTGTAAGTCCCTTTTTGCTTTCAGTGCCGTCCTAACTTCGAATGGGCTGCTAAACAAATGGTCATAAGCTGAGGACTATCTATAATTGGCTAATTTATGCTTCATTGGATTATAACCCAGGAGAAGAGTTCACTTATCATGAAATTAAGTGCCAGCTCCAGACACAATCATTCCCACCAACCTTTCAGGGAGGATTTTGTTTTAAATTCTTGTTCTTTTTAAATGCGTTGTCGCAATTGTAAAAGTGCAAGCCTGCTGACGGATGGGTGGCGCAAAGGTTCTCTGGAAACTGCGGGCTTTTTTTGTTTGTGTGCGCACCCTTCTCAAGTTCCCATTTTGGGTGAGATGCCGGCTTTGTGTAATGAGGGTCCTGAAACCAGAAGTCAAGCCTCCCAGGGCAGGAAGTGGAAAGTGGAGATCAAGGTCGGAAGGTCACCTCCCAAAGGCTTCCCCTTCCCACGTTCAGCTCCCTTAACTCAAAAAGAAATTCATTTACTGGGCAGGCAATCAGCTACAGGAAAAGAGAGCTTATGGCCATCCATTTAACAACAGTTCAAAGTTATGACGGTGCTGAAAAGAGTGATTTACAGCTGATCCTCACACTTACGACGATTGTGGCATTCCCACTGTCACGGCTGCGATTTGGGCGCTTGGCAGATGGCTTACACGAGGGGCATTCCTGGTGTCCTGCAGCCGTGCGATCACCATTTGCCACCTTCCATGCCAGCTTCTGACAAGCAACGGGGAAGCCAGCAGGAACTCGAAGTCGCAGGTAGTCCTCGGTTTACGACAATTAGGAACGGAATTTTCATTGCTCGGCAAGACAGTTGTTCAGTGAGCCATACAATGTTTTTGCCACAGTTGTAAAGGAAGTCACTGCAACTCTTAACACGATTGTGAAGTGAATCTGGCTTCCCCATTGATTTTGCTTGCCAGAAGGTCACAGAAAGGGATCATGTGATCCCCAGGGACACTTCAACCGTCATTAAGTACATGCCAGCTGCCAAGCATCTGAAGTTTGATCACGTGACCGTGGGGATGCTGCAACGGTCGTAAGTGTGAAAAATGGTCATAAGTCATTTTTTCAGTGCTATCATAACATCAAGCATCCATTAAACAAACGTTTGTAAGTCAAGGACTGCCTGTATCTTGTTCGTGAGCATGGGTGATTTGGGTAACAACACAGAGCTAAAAAGGATCCTAAAATCAGCTGCAGTCACATGGTGCCTCACTTATCGACCACGCTGCTTAAAGATAAATTATCTGGTCCCAATTATCGTCGCATGTCGAGGACTACCTATTTTAGGCTCAAAACTTTGCAAGCCAAATTTCACACCTGCCCAGAAAGTCCTGCTCATCATTTCCCCTTTGGGAAACAAAATCCCAGGGGAGACGTTGTGGACTGGAAAAATCGGGGTGGTCTGGCGCACCCATACCCTTCCCACTTCAAACCTCCTCCTGGGCACGTGGGCAATTTTGAGCCAGAAGAGATGGCAAACTCTTCCCATCATTTTATTTCCCGATCAAAGGTGGCACCCAGAGGCCCTTCGCAAGAACATCCAACGTCTGACTTTAATTCAAAGGAGATTGACAGGAGCATCACCCCTGCCCCCCCCCCTAATTCACAGGGCCTGGCTTCAGCCCAAAGGCTCATTTCTGCCGAAAGGGGAAGCAGGAGAAAAATTAAACAGAGGTTTTAATTGTAACCCAACGTTTTTACAGAATACCTTTAAGAGATGCCACACATCCCTCCCCAAAACCGGCCTCTATTTGGCAGCTGATGAGCTTCAGGATCAGGAAAAATATCTCGAGTTTACAACCCAAATACCTGCTTTTTCCAGCAGCAGTTAAAATCTGAAGACACCCCAAACTCTGTCCCCCAAATCAGCTTCCTCTTTTCATGAGCTGGGGCTAAGCCAGCATTTCTCAACCTTGGCGACTTGAAGAGGTGAATTCTGGGAGTTGAAGTCCACCCATCTTAAGGTAGGCTGGCTGGGGAATTCTGGGATTTGAAGTCCATACATCCTGAGAAGCTTTATTGCTGAGTTATGTGGAAAGACCTTTCTTTCCTACCTTTCCCCCACTGTGCACCAAAAATTAAAAAAAGGGGGTTGACCTCGAATTGCACCCACCTCCCCCTTTTTGCAGAATCCTCCTCTTCAGTGGGGCCCTTTGCTCCCCTATAGGCCAAGCTGCCCCAGAGACCCCCAAGGATTAAAGGTGTTCAGAGGTTCCTCAAAATTTGGGATATCCAAGTTACTTTCTCCCATCTTTTGCTCTATCACGAGTCGGGTGGAGGGACTGGCCAAGAAGGATGGGTCATGTGATCCAACGCTGGCCAAGGAGGATAGATCATGTAATCCAACACAGGTCAGGGAGATAGGTCATGTCATTCAAAGCAAGCCAAGGACGATAGGTCATGTCATCCAATGCAGGCCGAGAAGAACAGGTCATGTCATCTATCGTAACTCCAGGCCCCCAACTCCAAAGACCATGGTTTAGGGGTGGTTTTGGAGATTTCCGAGCCTATTTGCTACAAGATCCTGGAGAACTTCGGAGCAGAACTTCGGAGAATCTGCTCCATGCGGCCCCTTTTGGGGGAAGCCTCCATCTTCAGGCTGTTGAAGGGCGAAGAGCCACCAGCAACACGGAACAGGGATGCTACCTAGAGGCTGGAGGGGGACATCTGGACACTCCTTCCGAGAGCCCTCAAAGATGACCATGCCAGTAACCTCACCAGGTGACAGCCTACCCGACGGCTTCAGTAGATGGCTTCGTCCATATTATCATCACTGTCGCCGCCAAAGTCTTCTCCGTTGTCAAAATAGGACATGATGTAGTCCGTCTCCTGCAGCAGCATTAAAAAAAAAAAAAAAAAGGGGAAATGGCTGAAATTCAACAATTTCAGAGCCTGCTAAAACCTTCCCTGTTTTTCAGGTGGATTGGAGATTCATATTTTATATCCACTTTTGTTGGAAGCTGGGATGCAGTTCCGAGTCACAAAATATTGGGGACATGGTGCAGAATCTGATGCCAAACAGAAAACTATCACTTCGGCAAGATGGGCAGCACTGAAGTTTAAAAATGAAAAAAAAGGAAGTAAAGTAAAAAGTAAAGTAAAAATATAATAAAAAATAAAATAAAATAATAAAATAATAAAAAATAAAATAAGAATAACAAAATAAAATAATATAATAAAATAACAATAATAAAATAAAATAAAATAAATATTATTCCTCTAATTCAGTGTTCCCCAATCTCCGCCATTTTAAGATGGGTGGACTTCAACTCCATGCTGGCTGGGGAATTCTGGGAGATGAAGCCCACCCATCTTAAAATGAGAGAGATTGGGGAACTCTGCTCCCACTAAAACTTTTGGCCTTCATCTCTGCTACAGTTTCTCTTACCTCTTCAAACTCTTCTTCATCATACCCCTCCTCCTCTTCCTCCTTGCCTTCTTCACCCTCTTCCTTCTCCTCTTCCTCTTCCGATGTCACCTCTTCCTCTTTCTTTTCCAGAGTCTAGGAAACAATTAAAGAATGATTTTGAGACCGTGCCACTTCCTGACTGTTATTCCCACTGAATTTCTGCCTCGTCCTGCCAAAACGCTTCCTGCTCTCCTTTCCTACCCTGGCACAGAATTACGGAACTGTCCAGGCAAGTCACCAAGTTCAGCACCGAAAATTCTGGCAGTGCCAACTTCCACTGCTGAGCTCTTGGCAAAATTAACGTTGCCAACTGCTTTTACCAGCCCTGTCCTTATGCCTTTCATGGGCTCCAGATCAGCATTTCTCAAGGCTGGCCACTTCAACTCCCAGAATTCATCAACCAGTGGCCGAGGTTGAGCATGTGCTGCAAAGGTGAGTTCACACAACACCTTCAACCTGGATGCTCACTTAGTCCATTTGTTGAGTTCCCAAAGAAACGCCAACAAACCCAGGGATACACAGGTGTGCAATAACTTACAACTATTCCTTTAGCAACCTCTTGAAGTTACAGCAGCACTGAAAAAAGTGACTTATAACTGGACCTCGCACTTATGACCACTGCAGCATCCCATGGTCACAAAACATTTGGGCATCTATTTAAGAGGGTTGCAGCAACCTGGGGTCACATGATCACCACCTGCAAACTTTCAGGCATCTTCTGAGAAGCAGAGTCAATGGAGGGAGACATATTCACTTAATGACGTGATTCACTTAATGACGTGATTCACTTAATAACTGCAGTGATTCGCTTAACAACCATGACAAAAAGATTGTAAAATCAGGCACGACTCACTTAACAACTGCCTTGCTTAGCAATGGAAATTCTGACACTTTTCTCACTGTTGATCCACCAGTCCTAAAAGGGAGATTTCTGCCTTCAGTTGAATATTAGCCTTTAAAATCCACCACGTATGTGTGTGAATCCTTTTTTAAAAAGCTTTTTTACATATCCACCAAACATGAAAAAATTTCCCTTCCTGTGGTTCTCATTTCCAACCAACACTAGCACAGCTGGTCCTCGACTCATGACCACAATTGAGCCCAAAACTTCTGTTGTTAAGTGAGACCTATGTTAAGTGAGTTTTGCCCCATTTTGTGATCTTTCTTGCCACAGTTATTAAGTGAATCACCACAGTTCTTAAGTTAGCAACCCAGTTGTTAAGTGAATCTGGCTTCCCCATTGACTTTGCTTGTCAGAAGATCACAAAAGGGGATCACAGGACCCCTAGGATGCTGCAATCATCATAAATAGGAGTCACTTGTGGGGGTTTCTGGTTTGACATCACAGCGGGATGAGCGCAGGAAGATGGGGCTCCATCTTTTGCGTTCGATTTCGCCCTGCTGGGGACCCTGGAAAGGGTTGAAAGTCGCCCCGCAGAGGCGACAAGCAAGGAGGGGACTCTCGTTGATCACGGGAGGGCAGTGGCCCTTCCGTTTGATCTGAGGAAGCCGTCCAAACCAGCGCGGGAAAGACTGGCTACATTTGTGTAGCCAGTCAGAAGCTGCTGACAACAGAAGACAACAAGCACTAACAAGCAACCTTTCAGCAACGTGGATGAAACTGGGTGAGACTCTATCCTCTCTTTATGACTCTAAGACTTCTTCCTGGAAAAAATTGCCCAAAGCACCCTCCCCGATGAGAGAGGGAAGGGGAATTTCCATCCTATTTCCTCAAGAAAAAAAAGCGGCGAACTAATTACTTGGGGAAACAGAGAAAATTACAAGATTAATTTGGAATTAATGCACATATATGGCTTTGAAACTTGGGGACTAAAAGTGCTTTTGAGACTTTTTTTAAAAAAAAAAAAGATTTGAAAAGCTTATAAGTTTGGATTTAAAAAGCTAGAAAATGGCGCTAATGACATCTAGTGGCAAATTATGGTACTACAATTTGTTATGCTTAAAGGAAATTTGGCTTGAAGCCCAGATTTAGATAAGACTCTTGCTGTCCTTGGAAACTTTCACTTTTGAAGACTGCAGCTAGGAAAAGGGGGGGGGAACTTTTGGGCTGCTTATTGGTGTGGCAGAGACTATGAACTACTTTGAAATAGGCCTGCCTGAATTACAAATATAAATATTAACTGACTTTCAGAGCTGTGTTGTGGAACTATTTCCTTGCAGGAGAAACACACATCATTGCCTGAGATGATGGAATATTTTGGATTACAAATCTTTGATTGATGAACAATTTTTATTATAAAGACCACCTACACAAAATGAAATGGATGTCCCATACTCAGCTTTAAATGGTAAAAAACCATCTCTAATACCTGTCCCCAAAGTCTTCAGTTTGATATACCACCAAGAAAATATGAAGATCAGAAACTCTTTCCATGTTGAAACCAATACAAGAGACTATTGCTTTAGCTTGTGATGAGACTAGAAATAACACAAAGGAGATAAAAGAACAATTTTCTAATATAACTTTACAAACCCAGTACATGACTACAAAGAAGGAATTAGCAACCCAGAAAATAGAAGGAAAACTAGAGGAAGCAGATCCAAAGATGGAGGACCTAAAGGAAGGAACTAACCAACAGATTCAGACAACTGAAGAATTAGAAAACAGAGCGATAATATCGGAAATGGAAAAGACATCTTACCAATCAAGAATTCAGAATACATTTAAGGAAAAGGAAGAAGAACTGATTGAATGGAAGATAGAACTGTTAGGTGAACTGTGGGGAGCTGGAAAAGGAGGGAGGCTGTTTAATGAATATCAATGGGTTCGCTCTTCCAAAAATACTTTAATCAAATGGTCTTTCTTAGTCCAAACAATATATATAAAAACAGAGGAAAAATTACTTGATGATTCAAATGCATTGACTTGGAAGGTTAGTTGGCAAGGGAAGAAAGCTAGAGTAAGACTGAAGAAAATAGAGGTTTTGATCCATTAGATGGGATATTATATTATTAACTAGATGTTTGAATATGGTGGAGAATAGATAATTGCTAGAAATAGAAGTATTATCATAATTAGAAAGATAAGATTTCTAATTATGATAAGGGAAACAGGAAAATACTAAGAAGTTTGAATAAGGGAAGCTTATTATAACTTACTTTGAAATTATAAACAATAGAGACACTTTGAACACTGATGGGAAATTAAAAAAAAAAGCAAAAACAGGATACTGATTGAACATATGGATATTAAGTGCAAATGCAATTAACATATGTTTTGGTTAGAAAAGATATCTTAAACTGACATTATTGATATTATGAGAAAAATGTAACAAAGATCTTGATATTCAGTTGTATATTTATTAATAACAATAAGAATTGTATTTGCCTAGTGTGGGAAATCAGATACTACCGGAAGTAGAGAGGAAACATTTGATGGTGTAACATTGGATATAAACTGAAGAAGTGGAATATATTCCACTGAATTACTAATAGACCCAGACAACACGTTGTCTATTAAGTATTTGACTGTAAAACTAGAAAATTAATAAAATATTTATAAAAAATAAATATGAGTCAGTTGCAAGGGGTCTGAATTTTTACCAGGTGACCCTGGGGATGCTGCAATGGTCGTGTGAAAAACGATCCTAAGTCACTTTTTTCAGTGCCATTGTAACTTTGAATGGTCACTAAGCAAACTGTTGTGTGTCGAGGACCACTTGTGTAAGAAGAATTTGGAAATAAAGGGGGGGGAGAAACCCACCCAGTCCCAGCCTGGTCTTTTGAAAGCGCTGCCAGGACATCTGGCTTACCTCCAGCTTTTTAATGGCTTCCTCCTTGTCTGCAGGCACCTTCGGTTTGTGCTTGGGAGCCGGCACTGCCCGCCCTGCGCCAGGAAGAAAACGGAAAAACTCATCATCCTGGCCAAAGGTCCCTCCAGGGCCCATTTTTGGCCAGGCTACAGTCAAAGAAAGCAAAATTCTTTGATGGCATTGGTCAGTTGCAAGCACCCTGCAGGCCTGAAAGAAGGCACAAAATACAGAACAACAGAGTTGGAAGGGACCTTGGAGGTCTTCTAGTCTGACCCCCTGCTCAGGCATTTCAGATAAATGGTTGTCCAGTCTCTTCTTTTCAAAGCCTCCAGTGATGGAGCACACACAACTTCTGGAGGCAAGTCGTTCCACTGGTTAATTGTTCTCACCGTCAGGAAATTTCTCCTTAGTTCCAGCTTGCTTCTCTCCTTGATTAGTTTCCAACCGTGGTGTCTTGTCCTGCCTTCGGGTGCTTTGGACAATAAGTCACCCCCCCTTCTTTGTGGCAGCCCGTCAAATATTGGAAGAAGGCTATCATGTCACCCCTAATCTTTCTTTTCACTAGACATACCCAATTCCAGCAACGGTTCTTCATACATTTTAGCCTCCAGCCCCCTAATCATCTTTGTTGCTCTTCTCTGCACTCTTTATAAAAGAGTCTCAACATTTTTTTTTAACATCACGCTGACCAAAACTGGATGCAGAATTCCACGCGTGGCCTCACCAAGGCTTTAAAAAGGAGTACTACTACCTCACGTGATCTTGATTCAATCCCTCTGCTAATGCAACTTAGGACTGCATTGGCCTTTTTGGCAACTGCAGCACACTAGGACTCCCAGATTCCTCTCAATGTCCTTGAACATCACCTTGCAGCCCACCATATGTACAGGACTACATCTCCCATTGTCCTAACACACTGACAGAGGTGATGGGTGTTTTGGTTTGATGCTCCTGGAAAGATGCACATTTGATGGGCTGATGCTCTATCCAGCTTTTGGATTTGATCACACAACCTACTAAGATCTTCCCAATGCGCCAAATGGCAACACGGAGGAAGTTGTACAAAGGGCGAAAAGTAAGGATACTCCTGCCTCTCAAATCTGAAGCAAATTCATTCTCCTGAATGTAGGGTGACCCTCTCCTTCATAAGTGACGATTTGGGGTTCACCAACACCCCAAAACCCAGCATCGACATTCAGTGTCCCAATGACCAAAGATCAGCAACAACTATTGGTGGCCCACCACTTATAAATATTCAACAACCGTTCAAAGATATGATTGCAATAAAAAAAGCAACTTACAACCAGTCCTCACACTTACAACCATCAATGTCCTACAGTCACCTGATCAAAACTGGTGTGCTTGCAACTGCCATGTATTTTTACAACAGTTGCAGAATCATGTCATTCTGTCTGCAAGCTTCCCAGTGGTTTCCAACAAGTAAGTCGATGTGGGAAGCTGGATTCACTTAACGACTGTGTGATTCACTTAACAACCAAGGCAAAAAAGGTCATAAAATCAGCTGCAATTCACTTAATGAGAGCATCGCTTAGCAACAGAAGTTCCAGTTGCAACTATGGCCATAGGTTGAGGGCTATCTGAACTGTGTATTCAAAAAGCATGGAAATAGGATGTTTCCATCGTTAGGTCCACCCACCGCCCCACCCAAAACAGCCTGAAATCAAACGGGCAAAGTCGTAAAGTTTCTTCCAGCAAGAGGTGGGGGCAACCTTCTGGCTGCAGGGGTTTGGGAGAATTGTATTTCCTCCACAGATAATGAAATTACTTACTTTGTTTTCGAGTCTTCTGCACCCGAATTTTTAGTTCTGGAGGTAGCTGTTTCCAATCTGCAGAGATTTAATCAAAGCAATTAAAAATTAGCCACTTGGGCTCCAACATGCTCCAGTGGGATTTTTAAAAAGTAAATAATTAGAAACTCTGTGTCTCTTGGGCATAATTTACAGCAGGGGTGTCCAACCTTGGCAACTTGTGGACTTCACCTCCCAGAATTCCCCAGCCAGTCAAAGAATTGAATTGAATTCTGGGAGTTGAAGTCCACAAGTTGCCAAGGTTGGACACACATGATTTTGAGACAAGGTGATTCTTAATCTTTCTCCAAGATGAAGGACAAAGAAAACACTTTTGGCTCCTGTACCTTTGGTCACTATGAATTATGTAGTACAGGTAGTCCTTGACTTACAAGCATTCATTTAGTGACCATTGGAACGGCACCGAAAAAAGCGACTTTTGATCGTTTTTCACACTTATGACCATTGCAGCATTCCCAGGGTCACATGATCAAAATTCAGATGCTTGGCAACTGATTCATATTTATGACGGTCGCGGTGTCCTGGGATCACGTGATCTCCTTTTGTGACCTTCTGACAAGCAAAGTCAATGGGGAAGCAGATTCACTAAACCAGAGGTCACTAATCTTTTCATGCTGGCAGCCCGGAGGGATAGGGAGCAGCTTGGAAATTTGCACGCACGCATGCGCATGAACAGGGCTGCACGTGAACGGGGCCGCATGTAAATGGGGCTGCGCGCACCTGCATGGTGCTAGTGGCTGCATTTGCGCAGCTGCGCAAGCACTAGCCACCGCTGCTGCTAGTCCCATGTGCGTGCGCAAATGGGCTGCGCAACCAGTGTGCGTTAGCGGCCCCGTTTGTGCATGTGCACAACTGCTAGTCACTGCTGCTGCTAGCCGTGCGTGCATGCGCAAACGGGTCCATGGGCACTAGCGTAAGCGGGGTTAAGTAGGCCAGCAGGCCACAGCCCGGTAGCAGGCCGCAGACCATAAGTTGGGGACCCCTGCACTAAACAGCCATGTTACTAACTCAACAACTGCAGTGATTCACTTAATAACTGAGGCAAGAAAGGTTGTAAAATGCGGCAAAACTCACTTAACTGTCTTGTGTAGCAATGGAAATTTTGGGCTGAATTGTGGTCGTAAATTGAGGACTACCTGCACAAGAAATCAAAATATTTCTCTGGCCTTACCTGGGTTCCACTCCATGGTGTTGTCTGTTGGGCCTGTTGTCTGATATTTGTCGGAATAGCGCTCGATATCTGGAGAAATTAAAAATTCAAAGCGTTAGTGATGCCCTCTTTAAAAAATGGAGGGTGAGAAGAGGGAGGTGAGCAAGATGAGATGGCGGCTGGGGTTAAACGGGTCAGTAGTTGGAAATCCTTACGCAGCCACAAAAGGCCCAAGTCTGGCTCCCTCCCCGTGAGTTCCACTGACCCTTCTCTGCCAATTTAGCTTGTACAGGTTCTGCAGAGTCTTTGAATTATGGGGAAACTAGCAGACGGACAATACCTCTAGCAGGTAGAAAAGAAAAAGGGTGAAAAAAGGAAGAGAAATATCCTATGCAAGACTCAGTGGTATAGGATTTCCTGCCTGAGCAGAGGGTTGGACTAGAAGACCTCCAAGGTCCCTTCCAACTCTTATTCTATTCTATTCTACTCTACTCTACTCTTTCCAGTATTCTATGACATCACAGAAGCTCAGCCAATCACAAGGCAGACAATATTTCAAGGACTTCACGGTTTTCTCTGCCACTCGATACCTTTTTTGGGGGCCGAAGGCTTGATGAAATATGGCAGGTTCTTCATGGCCCCCCTCAGCTCCTGCTTCAGGGCCAGCATGTATTCGACCTCTTCGCCAGACTGCAGCAAAAGTGGTTTGTATTCCAGCGGCTACAGAAACAAGCCAGGTTTAAGACAAAACATGTGAATGCTTTGGCTCCCTTCCCAAAACACGCTTCATTGGGCTATTAAATTAATCCATTTGCTGGATAGGTTTAAGACCCTGAACCAGCAACAACCCAACTGGTGGGTTCCTGCAACATGGTAAGCCACAATCAACAAACCATGGATGCTTAATTGTTAGCCTGTAAGAGGCACACTGAGTCTGGGCATGTAGCTATGTCTTAAGGACCTGACAAAAGTCCACACTCGAACTCATGACCCATCGCAAAAGGGAAATTTAAATGGACTTAACAATTGCCACAGATACTGAAATATATTCAAAAACTCCCAAAGTCTTCCTATGAAGACAAAAATGGATGGAATTATCTTTATGCTGAACTGACATAAAGATTGTTCAGTGGTACTTTCTTATAATATAGATTGTCCTCGAGTTATGGCTGTTTCTTCAGTGACCGTTTAATGTTACGACCGGTGCTGAAGGAAGGGACTTATGATGGTCCCCGAAGTTTGACAAGACTTTCTGGAAAACAGTTTTAACAATGAAAGGAAAAAACTGGGGAGCAGTGACCACCCAAGGGAGTCCAAGGGAGGCTGAGCAACTCACAGGGAAGAGAGGGGATGGCTTCAGAGTGGGAGGGGGCAACGCCTCCCCCTTTCCAATGCCCACTGCCTCGACATTGAAGGTCATGTGGCCGCCCCCCCGGCCCCTTCCTCTGCCGCCTCTCCCAGCCATGAGGGGAACCTGGGGGGAAAAATACATGAAAAAGATTACAGAAAGGTCGAAGACAAGGAGTCCCAAAGTAAACGAAAGGGGCTGAAATCAGGAATTTGTGCGATAGTCCTTGACTTTAGTGACCATTTCAAATTACAACGGGCACTGAAAAAAGTGATTTATGACCAGTTTTCAGACTTACAACCGTTGCAATATCCCCGTGGTCACGCAATCAAAATTCAGACGCTTGGCAACCGACTCATATTTACGACGGTCACAGTGTCCCGGGATCATGTGATCCTCTTTTGCAAACTTCTGACAAGCAAAGTCAAAGGGGAAGCCAGATTCGCTTAACAATTGTGTTTTATTTAAGTGATTTACTTAAGAACTGTGGCAAGAAATTGTCATAAAATGGGGCAAAACTCACTTAACAACTGTCTCGCTTAGCAGCAGAAATCTTGAGCTCAGTTGTGATGGTACGTCCAGCACTACCTGTGTTCAATTATTGCATTATTATTATTTGTATAGGACCCCACTGGTGTTATATGAACCAGACTGTCGCATTCAGAGGTTACTATATTTAGTTGTTTGTTGATCTGGGTTTACATAGGTCATGAGAACACAGCCGGGGGGGGGTGTATTGCCCCCATCACTGCTGCTCATGGCTCCCCCTCTTAGGGTCTTAGAAACAAGGCCTAAGCCAGCATTACCCAACCGTTCCAGATTGACGGACTGGCAGCTGGGGAAAGGGGATGGTTCTGTGTGAGCAGCAGGTGTAGGCACGCACGCATGTAGCGCCATTTGTACAAGAGGCAGGCACGACCACCTGCTGCTCAGACAAATGTGTGCACGCTCGCCCACCACTTGCATGGCATGGTTCCAAACAGTTACAACGGCACAGAAAAAAGTGACATGACCATTTTCACACCTACGACCGTTGCAGCATTCCCCCACGGCCACATGACCAAAATTCACATTAACCTGGCTTGTCAGAAGTCTCAAAAAGCAATCACCTGACCCTGGGACCCTGCAACCATCATAAATATGAGCTTCTGAATTTTGATCCTGTGACCTTGGGGATGGTNCCTTGGGGATGGTCGTATGTGTAGAAAACGGTTGCACGTCATTTTTCCAGTGCTGTTGTAACTCTGAACGGTCACTAAACAAACTGTTGTAAATCAAGGAATACCTTTATCTAAGAGTCCAGTCCATTTGGAGCCTCTGTGTCTGTGGAAAGCCCATGGAGTTCAAGACACCCAAACTCAAGTCCCGGGTTCAGGCAGCATTGAATGAGGAACAAGGAGGTGGGGTGGTTTATGGTTCAAGGTTGGGTGGTAACCCAGTCCTTGTCTCAGCCAGGTCCATGAAAACTGGATGCATTTTCAAAAACAGACTGGACAACAGAATAACAGAGTTGGAAGGGACCACAGAGGTCATCTAGTCCAGGGCTTTTCAACCTTTTCACCCATTGTACCACTTTTAGGATATGGCAACATCCGAGTACCACCAGTCGCCTAGCAAGGGGTCAAAAACTTGATGACCAAAAAAAAAAAAAAAAGGAAAAAAGTGATAAAGTACAGGTAGTCCTCGACTTACAACAGTTCGCTTAGTGACTGTTCAGTTACAATGGCACTGAAAAAAGTGCCCCCCAAGGCACAGCCGAGCAAGACACCTGCCTGCCCGCCCAGCTGCACTCTTCCTCCTGTCCGAGGTTTTCATTGTTGTGAGCATTTCTGTTGAGGATTGGCAGCGGGGGTGGGGGTGGGGGGGGTATTTGGTTTTTATTCCCCTCGTCTGCTGGGTGGTTGAGGCAGGTTTTGGTCACTTCACAGGACCCTGGGACACTGTGACCGTCATAAATATGAATCAGTTGCCAAGCATCTGAATGTAAATCACAAGACCCTGGAGAGGCTGCAACATTCCAGCTGATCGGCGCTTCTTCTGGGCTCAGCGGAAGCACCAGGATCAGCGCTGAACTCCAGCTGGAGCCTGGCGCTGATCCTGGCGCTTCCGCTGAGCCCTGACAGCCCTGCAGCTCCAGCCATCTCTCGCTCAAGCTTGTGCGGTGCTGCCACCGGTTCAGATCATTCCCCTCCCCCGCTACCTCTTTTCTAGGATGGTCGCGTACCACCTGCCAGGTGCCAATGAACCACAGGTGGTACCCGTACCACTGGTTGAAAAGCCCTGCTCTAGTCCAAGCAGGAGACATCATACTATTCCAGACAAATGTGGACCAAAAGGTGATCAACTTTGGAGATCTGGTGCAGAGGCAGTGCCTTCCTTTCTTCTTTGCTGCAGGAGCAAAGTTTTTCCAGCAGATAAATCCATCCATCGATTTTACATTGGACCCAAGGCAGTACAGTGTATAGTCTGTGTAACCCAGCGTTTCTCAACTGGCTGGGGAAGTCCATGCAGAGCATGTATTTACTATGCTTGCAGCATCTTGGGGTTACGTGATCGCCATTTGCGACCTTCCCAGCTAGCAAAGAAACCCTACGCTATCCTGGACAAATGGCTGTCCAGTCTCTCCGTAAAAACCTTCAGTGATGGAGCAACCACAACTTCTGGAGGCAAGTAGTTCCACTGGTTAATTGTTCTCCCTGTCAGGAAATTTCTCCTCAGTTTTAGGTTGCTTCTCTCCTTGATTAGTTTCCACCCGTTGTTTCTTATCTTGCCTTCAGGTGCTTTGGGGAATAGGTGACCCCCCTCTTCTTTGTGGCAGCCCCTCAAATACTGGAACACGGCTATGTCACCCCTAATCCTTCTTTTCACTAGACTAGCCAGACCCACTTCCTGCAACCGTTCTTCATATGTTTTGGCCTCCAGACCCCTAATCATCTAAGTTGCTCTTCTCTGCACCCTTTCCAGAATCTCAACACCTTTTTAATAATGCGGTGACTAAAAGTGGATGCAGTTATTTCCAGGCGGGGTCTTAACCGAGGCCTTATACATTGGTATTTACAATTCGCGTGATCTTGAATCCAAAAGGGCCCCTCCCACCCCCCACCCCGGAGCCACCGGGACAGGTCTCTGCTTCCGTGGAAGCTCCAGGCCTGAGAACCAACACCCAGAGGGCCTGCTGGGAAAGCAAATCCGCCACTTGCCTGGAATGGTCCAGGGTCTCCTGCTTGAGCAGGGGGTTGGGCTAGAGGACCTCCAAGGTTGATTGGTTGACTGACTGACTGACTGACTGCTGTGTGCCTGAAGACCTTCCTTTCTACTTGCAGGGAGTCTTCTTTGGAGGGTGGCTGTCCCGCCCCCTCCCCCTCCTGAAAAGGCCACACAAGCCCCGGAAGCCAAGCCAGGCAACCCCCCCCCGCCCCGCCCCGCCCCCCTATTACCAGGTCCGACCCAGTAGAGGACTTCCGAGCGCGGATCTCCCTTCGGTCCGCAGTCGCCGCGAGAGGGAACCGCGCCGCAAAAGCCGGATACTCCACGTTCGAAAGGGCGGAGCCTCTGCTCGGGCAGCCAGTCAGAGAGAGGCGGGAGAGCCAAGGTTCGATAGGCGACGTTCGAAAGGGCGGAGCCTCTGGCCGTTGCAGCCGGTCAGGGAGAGGAGGCGGAGGAGGGGGCGTGGCCTCCCTGTTGAAAGGGGGCGAGGGGGAGTCGGGGGGCTGGTACGCCGGAGCTGCTAAGCCGCTCCCAGGTCCTTTCAGTCCCCATCATCCACAGCCTTGGTCGTCGTGTGTATGATTGCGTTAAGTAAAATAAGTGTCTGTTTTATATGCGTTTCGTTTATCTTGGATTTGCTTAGTGAGCTTAAGGCAACTACGGCGACTTTACGACCTGTGGACTTCAACTCCCAGAAATCCATGGTTGCCATAGTTAGCCCCCTTGGATAACCGCAAATTTCCTTTAAGCTCCGATAGGGGGCAGCCTCGCGCATCCTTGGCTGTTCAGAACAGCTCAGTGGTGCTGGGCTAGGAGAATTGGATGAGGCACCACCCGGAAATCCTAGGAACTCAGTTCATCTGGGTTTAAGAGGCTCTACCATTTACTTGCAGGAAAAGCTGGTTGAGAAGACAACCCATTTGTGGTCTGTACCATGGCCAAACCAAGATCTCTTGAATGATGGCTTAGTTCATTTCAACACAGTGCAGCACGATGTGTCCAAAGCAGACCTGGTGTTGTATGAACGCAGCCACTAGGGTTGATTGGAGGGAAGGCAGCCAGGTGGTTCACGCAGCAGAAAAGCAGGTTCCTGTCGCTGCATTTGAGCTTGGTTAGTGTCTACCTTTTTGTGGTTTTAGTACAGGTACTCCTTGACTTACAACGGGTCATTTAGCGGCTGTTCAAAGTTACAATAAATCCCGGTTCTGAGAGCTGGGGAGGGGGCTCTCCCTTGCTTCAGTCACGTGACTGAATTTGGGGCACTCAGCAACCGGTCAGCATTTAAGGCCATTTGCAGCATCCCAGGTCACATAAGAGCAATTTACGACAATTCCCCCCCACACACACACACACCAGCGACCGATGGGCTCACTTAACGACTGCTGCAAAAGTTGTAAAAATAGGTTGATCACCGGCTTTACAATTGTCATGACTTAACAACAGTAATGAGAGGCTCTACAGATAGTCCTTGACTTATGACCACAATAGAGCTCAACATCACTGCTAAGCAGGACATTTGTTAAGTGAGTTTTGCCCCACTTTATGACATTTTTGGCACAATTAAGCAAATCACAGCAGCTATTAAGTGAATCGTGCACACGTTAAGCAAATCTGGCCTCCCCCATTATCTTCGCTAGCCAGAAGGGGATCCCCCAAAAGGGGATCATGTGAAGAATAGAAATAGAATAAAATTAAGGGAGAATAGAATTAAGAGAGAATGGAATGGAATAGATCTTGTAGGTCATCTAGTCCAACCCTCTGCCCAAGCAGGAGACCCTACACCATTTCCGACAGATGGCAGTCCAGTCTCTTCTTGAAAGCCTCCGGTGATGAAGCTCCCACAACTTCTGAAGGCAACTTCTGTTCCATTGGTTGATTGTCCTCAGTGTCAGGAAATTTCTCCTTAGTTCCAGGTTGCTTCTCTCCTTGATTAGTTTCCATCCATTATTCCTTCTCTGGCCTTCAGATGCTTTGGAGTATAGGTTGACCCATCCTCTCTGTGGCAGCCCCTCAGATATTGGAAGGCTGCTGTCATGTCACTCCTGGTTCTTCTCTTCACTAGACTAGCCATGCCCAGTTCTTGCAACCGTTCTTTGTACGTTTTAGCCTCCAGTCCCCTGATCATCTTAGTTGCTCTTCTCTGCACTTCTCTAGAGTCTCAACCTCTAACCAGGTCATGCAAGGACAATTGGCTGAGTTCACCTGATTAATCTTAATCTTACAGAATAACAGAGTTGGAAGGGACATTAGAGGTCTTCTAGTCTGACCTCCTGCTCAGGCATTTCAGATAAATGGTTGTCCAGTCTCTTCTTTTCAAACCCTCCAGTGATGGAGCACCCACAAGTGTTCTCCCTGTCGGGAAATGTCTCTTTAGTTCCAGGTTGCGTCTCTCCTTGATTAGTTTCCATCCGTTGTTCCGTATCCTGCCTTCTGGTGCTTTGGGGAATAGGTAGACCCCCCCTTCTTTATGGCAGCCCCTCAAATATTGGCAGATGCTATCATGTTACCCCTAATTATTCTTTTCATCAAATTAGACATACTCGGTCCCTGCAACCGTTCTTCATATGTTGTAGCCTCCAGCCCTCTAATCATCTTCATTGCTCTTCTCTGCATATTAAATATTCAAACCTCTTGTGCAGAACTGGTGTGATGCTCTGGGGCCAGGCTCCCCCAAAGGTTCATCCTCCCCCAACCCTGTTCCTCTGACCATGGGAAGAGTTCTCTTTCTCTTCCTATCGGATGGTACAAATGACTCTCTCAGGTTCATTTCTCCTTGTATTTTGAACGCTTTCCTTTAGATAACATCCGGTTTCTGACGCCAGCCTCTCCTCATTTTGTCATTCTTCTTCACCCCACAAACACAAAAACCCCTTTGAAATTAAATAAAATAAATAAATTCCCATTCTGCTCAGCTGATTCATGCTTGGAGTGGCCTCCCTATTGCACCAAGGTTAAAAATAAACTCCCCCCCCCTCTGATGCTCAGGATCGTATTAATAGCCCAGCTGCCAACACATGGCTGGTTCCTTTTGGTGCACCGGGGGTGGCAGGCAGGAACGCCAGAGATCTGGAGATCTTTGCTCCATCTGAGATGTGTCTCAGCCACCCATCACCCAGGGATACCTATGTGCCCAGCTGGGAGGTTGCCATGGCAACCATGCACATGGAAGGGGGCGCCAAAGATGAAGGAGGAGGAGGAGGAAGAGTGGACACGCAGGAAAGGAAAAGGGGAACCGAGGGTGGAGGAATGAGCCTTTCACGAGGGGGGGGCATGCTCCTGTCCAGCCGGTGCGATGAAAAAAAGGAGTTAAATGCTCCCTTGCTTTCCCTGTTTGTGTGGGGCCAGTTGTGCATGGCGCATGGGGCGCAGGCCAGCCTCGGTGAGCTGCTGGCTAAGGGTCAGTCTGTCGACCCTTCAATAACTCTTTTGGGAAAAGGAAGACAGAGAGATAACAGAATAACAGCTGGAAGGGACCTTGGAGGTCTTCTAGTCCAGGGATCTCCAACCCCTGGTCCATGGACCAGTACTGGGCCGTGGCATGCCAGCAACCGGGCCTCACAAACAACAAAGCCCCATCTGCGGGATGCAGGCAGCACACGAAACCACGCACCCTCCGGTACGCAATGAAACCTCTCTCCATAGAACCGGTCCCTGGTGCCCCAAAGGTTGGGGACCTCTGATCTAGTCCAACCCCTGCTCAAGCAGGAGACCCTGTAGTACCATTCTGGACAAATGGCTGTCCAGTCTTTTCTTGAAAACCTTCAGAGATGGAGCACCCTCAACCTCTGGAGGCTAATTGTTTTCACTGATAGGATATTTCTCCTTAGTTCTAGGTTGGAAAAAATTGAGGGAGGGAGGGAAGGAAAGAAAGAAAGAAAGAAAAGAAAAAGAAAGAAAGAAAAAGGGAGGAAAAGAAAAAAAAGAAAGAAAGGGAGGAAAAGAAAGAAAGAGAAAGAAAGAAAGAAAGAAAGAAAGAAAAAGAAAAGGAAGGAAAGAAAGAAAGAAAGAAAGAGAAAAAAGAAAGGAGGGAGGGAGGAAGGAAAAGAAAGAGAAAGAAAGAAAGGAAGGGAGGAAGGAAATACAGAATAAGTTGGGAGGTACTTGGAGGTCTTCTAGTCCAACCTATATCAAAGGTCTCCAAACTTGACACGCTTTAAGTCTTGTGGACTTCAACTCCCAGAATTCCCCAGCCAACGTTGCTGATTGACCTCAGGCAGGCCAGACCAACAGTCAAAGGGCGGATGTGGCCTGGGGGGGGGCTGTAAAACTCCTGTTCAACGGGAAAGAATTTCCTGCTAGAAAAGTCAGACCCTTCTTCCCACATACAGGTAATCCTTGACTTACGACCATAATCGATCCCAAAACTTCCATTGCTAAGTGAGACAGTTGCTAAGTGAATTTGGCCCCATTTTACAGTCTTTCTTGCTGCAGCTGTTCAGCGAATCACTGCAGTCGTTAAGTTAGTGACATGTTTGTTAAGAGAATCTGGCTTTCCCCATTGACTTTGCTGGTCAGAAGGTCGCAAAAGGGGATCACGTGACCCCAGGACACTGCGACCCTCGTAAATATGAGTCAATTGCCAAGCGCCTGGACTTGGATCACGTGACCACGGGGAGGCTGCAACGGTTGGTCCACCTTCCTGTCAGGAGCCCTCTCAGACGATTTGCGGGGCCACAATGAGCAACGGTCAGTAAGTGAAGACAGCCTGAGAGGTTAAAGCAGCAACGGAGCCCCCAAGTAGCCCCCCTGCCCTGCGCATCCGTCCGGATCAGGCGCTCTTAGGGGCCTCAGATAGAAACCCCCCCCCCCCGGATGGACTTGGAAAGGTAGTCCTTGACTTACGACGTTACAAAGCTGGACCAATCCTGACCCCAAACACGGCTTGCAAGATGCATCATCCGAATTTGCTGATTTCCCAGAGCAAACAAGCCAGGAATGTTGGAACGCTGAGGGTATTTCAATGGGGAACATTTGATTTGCTGTATTTTCGATTCCTTCCGTACCAGAAATTGAACTCCTGCTTCCTCTGCCCACAAACCATCTTCCCCCTCCCGCCAGCACCCTCGATTTCAGCAGCCTGATTGGGGGGAGGGGAGGGAGGGTGTCGCTCTGGTTAAAGTCATGAGGACGGCCACCCCCACTTACTGGCAGGACTCGCACTGCCTGCCTCTCCCTGCATCACTTGGGCGCTTTTGTCCTAAAATAGTGTGCTACAAAAATAGCCTCGCTAGCGGAAAAGCAGACATCCA